GCAATGTACGGATAATGACGCCGCCAGAGAGCGACTTTTGAATACCCTCGAGGCCCAAGGAAGACAACCCTATGTTCCTATCAGAGACGTGTTGGCAACCCGTGATCTCTGCTATATGCAGTCCGTTTATGTTTTTCTTCAAATGTCTAGTATAAGAATTTAATTCCTTTTGTCTTTTGTCTCTCTTTATTAGTTTTTGTTTGTCTTGTCCCCCCGTCTCGATGAGTCTCATCGTCGCCCACTGGTCACCCACCATAGCCGGTCGAACTCCGGACGAAGCTAGAACAGCACTACCGTTCATACTGGCGACAACGCTCTGATGAGACAACGAAACCCTACCCCAAGCTCCTCCCCTGATCCTATCCTTCGAAAATGTACCCTTCTAACCTCGAGTAAGCCGCGAGTAATCGGCCCAACTCCTACTAGACATAGAATTAAGTGAATCTTGTTACACACAGTGAACAATGAATTATCGGCTCCGTAAAGCTAACGCGATTGAGCCTTCCAAATAAACGAACTAGATAAAAAAAAAAAAAAAAACTCTGTAGTCTGAACGTACTATTAACTAGTGAAAGAGTAGGTGACCTTGCTTGAACTTGCTGATCAGTGTCTCATATTTGTCTGGAGCTCCGTCTTTCAAGCTCGAGCTAGTCGCCGCAAAAAAGGCTGGTGAATAGTCCGCCCCGTCTGGTCCCCGTGGCTTTAGACCAGGGACCTGGGGCATTTGTAGTAATATAGACGAATCCAATAGAAACTAAGCGATATTTCAGCCTCTGGTGGTGAAAATGGGCCAAATTTGTGTGACATAATTGGATCTTTCCTAATCTCGCAGTGCAGTTTTCGACGGGTAAGAGTCTATTTGATTACAGATTTAAAGTCGCTTATGTTTACATTTTGCTTTTTTAGGGAAAAAACATGATGCTGTGGATCAATTGGGAGCTGATAACACTCACCCCCACAATCCCGCTCAGGTGTCATTTTTAAGCCGAGGTTTAAGCCTCGTAAGCGACAAATCACCAAACACTGACTCGGAAAGAAGTCTGTCGACCAGTGACTGCAGCTTTAGCGCTAGTTCCTGTTTCGAAAGCCATGACGATAGCGGCTTCAACTCAGACTCCCCAAAAGCTACCAAGAAGCATTCCCGGTGATCGAAATGTCACCCTATCGGGAAATCTTCCAAACGGCGTCGGAAAGAAGCTATACTGAAACGTTCCAAAGTCAAAAATTGTAAGAGCTCATCTTCCAAGCGCAGCTGCGAGAAGCATCCGAGATCCAAGTGGCAAGGATACATATTCGTTGTACAATTCTTGCTCTTCAGTGGACGGAGGTCTTCCCCAGTAGAAGCAATGCATTTCTCAAACGCTCCAACAGTTCCTCCAAAAACGGTAAGGTGAGATACGCCGTCGTGATATCATAATAGAGGTAACTCTAAGACTAGAAGGTCCCGAAATAATGTGCTCAACTTTTTGGCTCTGCTCTGGTACTATCTTCGGTCCCAAGCTAATCGATTCACCCCTAGAAACATACACGGTAAGAAAAAGTACCCAAAAGTAAGTTCTTTTCACTCATCTCAGCACTATAGTGCAGGAGCCCAAAAGTAGGTAAAGCGGACAAAAGTAGTTTTCATTTACTTGGGTGCAATTTGTATGGAATTTTCCACTAGCTTTCTACCCAATAGTAAGTTAGGTGTACCCAAAAGTATGTAAATATGAGTATACTCACGTTGAGTTCCCACACTTTACTACCCCTGTTGAGTGGTTTTGCTCCTCCGTTTTTGACAACATTAGAAGGCGAAAAGGAGACAAACTAGTCAAAAGTAGGTAAAAGTGAACTGACCGTTGGGTACTTTTTAACCGAGTAGGAAAAACCAATAACCTCTCATTTTATCTGTCAAACTTTCATAGCAAATCAAAACAAACATTGTGTAGTACTAAAATGTCGACTAGAATGGGGTACGTTAATCGATTTGCTTGGGACCAATAGGCTATTCAAGAAGTGAGCAAATTTAAATCGATAGTTTCGTATTGATTGTTGATATTACCATAGAGGTAACTCTAAGACCAGAAGGTCCCGAAGAAACGAGCTCAACTTTTTGGCTCAGCTCTGGTACTATCTTCGGTCCCAAGCTAATCGATTCACCCCTCGAAATATAGGAAAATCCACTAACCCCTCATTTTATCTGTCAAACTTTCATAGCGAATCAAAACAAACATAGTGTACTAGGGGCATCCCACTCTAAACTTTGTATTTTTCCTAATATACATATAAAAATCTTAGTGATATCTAAGGTACCCAAAAATACTTAAAATACTTAAGAAATATCTAGCGTTAGTTTATTTGCTTGGTTGCTATGTCAATTTGATTTGCTTGTTTTTCCAATGTCAGGCGTTTTGTGTGGATAGTGGTTAATTTGTTAAGCAACTAGCATTCATTTGATTAGGAGCGTGAACAACTATAGGTGTCCCGGGCCATTTTTGGTGTAATCTGTTCACCATGTACCAGAAAGAAATAATTCGACAGTGAGTATGCATAAGGGCCTATACGCGATGATCGATTCTCTTCGTCGATTTTCTCTTTTGTTAATAACTCGCTAGATTTAACGTTTCTCGATGCGTTTGCTGTTGCTTTTGATAGCCAATACAACCTGTTACTACTCTGCATTGAACAAATTCTAGAAAATTGTTTCGCCTAGCTGTAGCAATGCAAAGAGAAAATCGATGAAGAGAATCGATCATCGCGTATTCGCCCTTATGAATGCTCACTGTCGAATTCTGATAGGCATTGGAACCATTTCTTGTTACTCGTTCGAGTTCCATCATTTGTATAACCAATCTAATAATGAATTTTGTATTTTTCTTTTTCCGCTCGGTTCTTGGCTGTGTGACTATGACAATGACAATTGGATGTACGAAACCATGTGACCATACTATCACCCATATTCTCGTTTACGTCCGGACAGTATTTAAACGAGAATATGGGCGTATTGCGGAAACGCAGATCTCTTAGCTTTCCACCTTCTAAACGCAGAACATGCTTATTACAGTAGATAATAAACCATAAAGGCCACTGGACACAGTATACGCAACATAGTCAGAATTATTTAAATGAACGGGTTTAGTTTTCTTTATTTTCCTACGTTTAATTTAAACAAGTAAAACGTTGTGTTCAATGTGATATAATAATGGCATTAATTATTCAAAATAATCAATATAGTAGTTTATTCAAAAGGAGAGTCAAAAGGGCCAAAAGCTTCCGGTCAGAAACGAATCACGATCATTCCCATTAAACAATCGGTAGATCGACAAACTTTTCTTCCTGCATTTGCTCAGGCCTACAACACGTTTTCGCGGCTTCAGATCCTTGATACTGCAAAAACAAAATCGTAGTCAGATGATTCGCTGCTAGGTACGTAATCAACATGTTTAGAAATAAAGTGAATTCCGTTCTGAGCGATGTTTCACGCGCAAGGCGAGATTTTGCGAAAGTACGAGAGGGAGAGAGAGAGAGAAAAGTACTAGTTGTCTCTCTCATGCCATTGCAAATTTTGCTCCGGTCAGCTAATGTACGCTCATATCTGAATATACCAATACTCATCATCGCAGGATCTTTATGCTCCGAGAGGGTATATGTGAGCCAATACACACTTTGAGTTCAGTCAATCCGAGGGGGGCGACACATCTAAATCTCAAGTTTAGATGCTCAACAAATCTCACAGCGAAACAATCTTCGAAAAATCTTCTTTCATTTGTCGCATCTACTTGCATCGTGCATCATCTTTTTGCAGGAAATCTTCAGAATCGTCATTAATCTTCTTTCAATCTACCAGCGTGCGTGCAGCTAGCCACAGCAAAACACAATCTTTTTTGCATCGTAGATAGAGTCGTCCCGCTCGAGTCAATCGGTAAACACCGTTAAATTTGTACTGAAAATTTGTCGGTGCTGAAAACATCATTCCTTGTAACTAGCTTTTGAAGCATTTTTACAAACTGAATCGCTGAAAAATATAAATTAAATAATACTATTTTATACTCATAATAAAAATACTTAACACTCCTATTTGTATAAATACAAGACGACCGACAACAACAAGTCAACAACAAACACATGCACTAGCAACCGGTCATCAAAAAATAAGTGTTACTTCGATGGAAATATATAGCCATGGTTTAAATACTTAAAAATACTTAAGAATACTTACGTGGGATTTACAAATATTTTATTGATATTAGGTATAGAGTTTAGAGCGGGATGCCCCTAGATAGTGTATGTAGTACTGGAATTTATACTAGAATGGGGTACGTTAGTCGATTTGCTTGGGACCAATAGGCTTGTCAAGTAGTTAGCCAATTAACCACTTTGTCAAGCAGTTTTGGCGTGACTTTCTACCAGCTATTTCACAAAACTGGACCAAATAATTTCTATATTTTTATGAAACGCACAAATGTTGGCTACTTTTCTCGAGGTTCTAGAAGAAAAAATCGCAAAATAATGTTTTATTTCAAAGTTCAAGTGGTAGTAAACGTCATTTTAAGTGCTCGAATAAAATGGTTAATTTAAAATCGTTAGTTTTGTATTGATTGTTGATATTACTGTATTAAATATTTGGATTTGAAAATCTTTTGAACGGGGTTTAGTTTTTTCAGCGTGTAGTGACACAAACGCTTCCTTTTCCGTCAAACTTGCTCGCCTTGAAATGCTCCAGTCTGTCAACTGGAATGTGACAGTCCAGAGGATTTCAAGCCTTCTCCGTCTGGCATGCAGCTGATCCAATCACATTCCAATCGGAATGCCATTCGATTGTGATGCCATCTCGCCTCATTCCCACAGCTCAACACGGTTGACGACCGTTAGCAAGCACTCTACTTGGATCGTAAACAGAGAACATTACCCTGCCCATTTCACCTACTTCGCTCTATGCTACTGCGCGAGCATAGCCTGCTCGCGACTACCCACACGACCAGTGGGAGATAGATTCACTTCAGTCGAGTCGAAGTCGCCGTGTCGGGTTGTAGCATATCGCAGTGTAGCACATTGTATCGTTTCGCGTCGCCGTGAGTGTGTGTCAAACAGGGCAGAGCAGAGAGAAAGGCATATAGATAGAAGAAGGTGCAGAAGTGTGAAGAGTGATGAAATCAACAAAACGACAGACCAGCACGGCAGAATGTTGTTGAGATGTGCACCATTTGCAAGAACAATGTTCACACCCGTAGGCTAGAGTTTGTAATCGTGTAATTAGTAGTGAAATCAAAGGTAAAGAGCGAGTAATTTACGCGTGCAGGCATGTGCTGGCGGGGTCCGAATTCGGGATAATGGGAAAACGGCGAAAACAACGGCCCCAAAAGCAACAGATTACGGGGGCTAGCGAGCGAACGAAGAAGCAGACTTGGCTGGTGGATGAAGAGGAAGGCTTGTTGGGTTGGATTGGTCTCGTTGGGAGGGGTGGTGAAGGAAGGGCTGTTGAATGGTCGGGTCGGGTGGCTGGCGGTCCATCCGCGAGGCGAGAGTATATATGCGAGTGAAGTGTGAGAGCGAGAGAGATGTCGGCCGGTGAGAGTGGGATGGATGTATGCTGGAGCGCATGTGTTTGTGTGAGAGGGAACCAATGAATGAGAGTGGTTTTAGTGAGAGAAGAAAGAATCTGTGTGTAGGGCGTTTTGCGTTTGGAGAAGCTTTTTTCTTGTCTTGTCGGGTAGAAGTTACAGAAAATTTGTCTCGATGTAAAAATGGTGTAAAATTTGCGTTTTTGCAGGACGGAAACACCCTGCTGGAAGTGTAATGGAAGGCACGAGTTGATGTGAAGTGAATCTAAGTGAATGAGAAGAATTGGCTCGGGTCCGAAGTGAGTGAAGCCAGTGAAGGGACCCTGGAGAAGAAGACAGAAAAGTTGAAATCAAAGGCAGACCCTGTGGTTGGATATTGGTTGCATTCAGATCAAAGTGTGCCTTTGCAAAATGTTGCCCCTGTAGAGGGAGCCTGGCTCGACATGGCCAGACATGGTACACTGTGTTTTGGTGTAGTGAATGAAAGTACCCTTAGCAAGGGGCCATCCTCCGAGGGGCACCCCATCGGAGTGAAGTGAATATTGCGGAGGCAGTGTAGAGAAGAGATAGTTTAAGAAGCAGCACAAGCAGAAAAGCAAATTTTGATTGATACATTCACGGCCGATGATGCACTGGAGTTGTGTCGGAAATTTTCCTGCTACTGCCGTTGGCCCCGCTAATTCGTCCAATTCGCATACTAGACTCGATAAGGTAATTGGCTCACCTTTTTTTCCGAGCCCACCTCTAACCCCCTTGTCCTCGCCCGTTTCGGAAATAGCGGAATTTTCGCATCCATCAGTTCCCATTTTTTCCGACTTTCTTCCGCTTCTGCTCACCGATTGACCGATCATCATCATCACCATCCCAAAGTGCAGAAAAACTCCCATCGAACCCCCGAATGTCCGAAAGAAAGCAACAAACGGACAAACAGCAACAGCAGCAACAACAAAGAGCGAAATAAGAAGGAAAAAACTGGATTACCTTCAGAAAACGCGAAACGCGAAACCACTGCGAAAGAGAAGGAGAAAAACGCGTATATCACTCTTGTGCTGCTCCTGGCGCCCGGCCCTGCCTGTCTATGATGGGGCTCAGCTCAGCACTATAGTAGGCCATGTTTCGGTTGCACAAAGTAGACGATGGGAGTACCGTTTTTCCTCCGACAGTGAAATTCTGGAAAAATGTTCTACATTGTTTCGAGCTTTTTCAAGTTTTGTTCCAACCGCCGCAGATGGCTATCTAATTTTATGATCAAACATGAAATATGTGACAGCGCGACGACGATGTGACTCATGACGGCGGCGATGAAGGAGATAGGCGGTAGCGCAAAACAATGCTGGTGATATTACATTCCTCCCAATTGTCCGTAATGGTTTTGTTTACTGTGTCGGTTAGCGTTATCAGTACGCCAGATTTATCTTATTTTTAGGAGGCATCTGGAAGATTCCTATGTAGTGGCTTCCCCAATCCCCTAGTGGCGGTCTTGCTCTGATTTGGCAGTTGAATTAGGGGAACATTTCCAATAAAATGCACTCGCAGTAACAACAGCCCAGAAACAGCTGGGTGTCACCTTTCAAAAGGAATTTGCCTAGGTTGCAACTTTGACCGTGGTGTGAGTGGCGGTCGAGTGTTTATAGATATTGCTATTATGTAGCTACTTTTCGGAAGGAGTCATTCGATAGGTTTGGAAAATAAAGCACAAGCCGAAACTGTTTGTAGCACGTTAAGCAGAGGGCAATTTGATGCTTGAGTAATTCTCGGTAATTCAGCAGAATTGTTATTATGAATGATGACGGCAATGAAATCGAACCAAATTTGAGTTTAGTTTACTCATAAATCACAAAGTGCAGGAACTCAGCGATTAGTAAATTTGTCTCATGTTTTTCCAGGTTTCTCCAGGAAAATAAATCACGAATATGAGAAAAGTAAAGCTTGGATTCACTTAGTCTATTGGTACTACTACTAGACTGAGTAAACGTTTCGTCAATCTTCCTCATTTTCCGGCAGATTTTTGAGGTTTCCACAAATTTACTCACCGCTGTATTTCTGCACTTTTGGCAATTATGAGCAAACTAAACTCAAATTTGGGTCGTTCTCATTAACCGTGTATACAACTGGTTGTTTTTTTCCCTATCAAGTAATCTCGCTGTTGAACAGAACAAGCAACAACAAAGCTGATTAATATTTTTTCGAAGGAGCTCTGAAGAAACTGTGAAAAGTACTGACATGTGTCTATTTGTAGTCAAAATATCATTATTTAAATCGGTGTAAAGTTTACTGAAATCTATTCACCACGAAAAAAGTTGCATCAGCATGATTTGATTTCACTTTACTGGATAATTTTGTAGTTTAGCCGGTGTGATTTCTTTTATTTTTTATTTTGCGTAACTAGGATGTTGTGCTAGGGGGGTGGGGGTTGGCTGACCCTGCTGACCACATCTACATTTAAAAAATACGGTTAGCGAAAGATGTACAGTTTCAGATTATCAGGGTTGGTAGTGAGTCACTTTTTAGTGACTTGGTCACTTTTTTCAAGCCAATCTCTAAAAAGTCTGCTGTTTAAAGGCCAAGTCACGAAAGTCACTTTTTCTTGTAATGAGTCACTATTTTCATTTTTTTTTACGTGAATTTATTTCAGGATAGATTATCCTCCTTGGATCTAATAGTCCAATCGATGCCCGCACGTTGTTCTATTTTTCGAACAATTCGAAGGTGTTGTGTTTTGACTAAACGTCTTTCTCGTCTTTCTCTATCTACTGATTTGACTAAATAAAATTTCCTGGATTTTCCAGGTTTTCCAGAATTTCAACGGATACTTTCTATGTTTATAATAAGAAAACTAGTCTTTAAACATGACAATTCAAGCTGAACATAGCATTAGGTCCTAAGTAACATGGACAGATTCTCTTCGTCGACTTTCTCTTTGTAACCCCACGGCCATGTAAAGACATTCCCAGGTATTTTCAGCACACAGATCGATAGAAGAAGCTTTTATCTAGCATCAAATACTACAAACACAACAAGAATCGGTCATGTGCTCAAGCTATTAACGAAATAGAAAGTCTATAAATGTTAGTTAGGACCTAATGCAATGATCAGCTTGAATTAGTTTTAAAGAAGCAGCTTTACAAAAACATCTTTAAGTTGAAGTTTAACACTTACTTAATTTTAGTAAGTCTAAGATCGTATTCCATGTACAAGTTCAAGATATTGAAACGGGAGCATAAGGGAAGTTTACATTCTGAAAATATGGGCAACTTTCTGGGAGCTTTGAGAACTTCAAAGCGGTTCTATTAGTTTCTGGAAGAATGCAGGAATTTAAAAGATGTTCCTAGAATTTTAGAGACCTTCAGAAATATATAGAATTTGAGAAAAAGTGTGGATACTTTAAAGAAGCTCTAGGTACCTCAGAAAAGTTAAAACTAGAGATCTTTGGGGAAATTCAGAGATCCTAAGGGCAGTATCAATTACTTTAGTTCAGACTTCTGAAGCAGTTTAAATGTCTATTAGCGTGAGTTTAGAAAAAAAAATGTTATGCTAAAGAAAAATAAATCGAGAATCCTTAAGATGTTCCAAGTATTTTAGAGAACTTCCAAAATATGTCAGGAACTTCCTAGAAAGAGTTCCATTTATTTCAGAGTAGAACCGAGACCTTCAATATAATTGAGAGCTTCAGGAAAAATGTGAAAGTATTTTAAGAGTGATACATCATGGAAATGTCAAGAGCTTCAATTAACTGTGAAAATATAGCTTAGTTTTTTTATTTATTTGATAAGGCTCAATCGAATGCACTCTAACGAGCCGAGAATTCTTGTTCATTATAAAAAACATCGTAAATCTATATTCAAAAGGTACAGCACAACAGTTGTGAAAGACGCGACTGGACAGTTGCTCACCGACCCCACTGACCAGTTGAAACGTTGGTTTGAGCACTTTGAACAACTTCTCGAAGTTTCAACGGCCAACAAACCATGATCCGCCAAGGGTCCGGAGGGAGATAGAAGCAGCCATCCGAAGTATGAAGTCCAACAAAGCCCCGGGGGTCGATCGCATATCAGCAGAGATGCTCAAAGCTGACCCCATGCTATCCTCAAAAATGTTGCATCAACTCAGTGGCATCGCGTAACCTCACTTTTTACCTGCTTACATTCAGATAAGTTTCAAAAGGCACTGCGTCTTCTAGTTTCACTGATTTGTATCCATTGGAAGTCATTTTTTTAATTTATTGAAGTTTTGAGAGTTGTTGAACAAGTAGATTGAGGTTAGGGCGACGCCGCTGCATCAACTATTCGTCAATACCTGGGACACCGCGACTTTTCCGGCCGACTGGATGCAGGGCATCTTGGTAAAAGTCCCCAAGAAGGGGGATCCAACTGTATGCGACAACTGGCGAGGCATCATGTTACTGTGTATTGTTCTTAAAGTTCTGTGTAAAGTTATACTCAATCGGATACAGGAGAAGATCGATGCGTCTCTCCGATGACAGCAGACAGGATTCCGTGCTGGAAGATCCTGTGTGGACCATATTGTCACGCTCCGCATCATCTTGGAGCAGGTCAATGAGTTCCAAGAGTCCCTGTACTTGGTATTCATTGACTACGAAAAAGCTTTCGACCGACTAAACCACGAAAACTTGTGGGGCGCTCTGAGACGCAAGGGAGTCCCTGATAAAATCGTCAACCACATCGAATCGTAGTACGAGGCTTTCTCATGCAGAGTGTTGCACAACGGAGCTTTGTCTGACCCGATTCGGGTAATCGCGGGTATGAGGCAAGGATGTATATTATCACCGCTACTGTTCCTCATCGTAATCGACGAGATCATTGTTGGAGCCGTTGACCGTGTACCGAACCATGGGTTGCTGTGGCAGCCTATTACCATGGAGCATCTCAACGACTTCGATTTGGCTGATGATGTTGCGTTATTAGCACAACGGCGCTCTGACATGCAGAGTAAGCTCGACGACCTTGTGGAACGCTCCTCTGAAGCAGGTCTAACCATCAACGTCAACAAGACCAAATCGTTGGATGTCAACACGGAAAACCGTTCCAATTTCACGCTAGCTGGGCAGGTAGTGGAGAAAGTCGAAAACTTCCAATATCTTGGCAGCCAGATAGCGTCGGACGACGTCACCAAGAGCGACATAGGTGCATGGATTAAGAAGGCGAGGGCTGCTTTGGCCAGTTTGCGAAATGTATGGATAGCGAATCAGATTAGTCGACGCACCAAAAACCGAATTTTTAACTCGCCAGTAAAACATGGTGTGTATCAGCGGAGAACACTCAGAAGCTGCAGATTTTTATCAACCGATGCCTGCGGTACATAATTCGTGCCTGGTGGCCCCACAATTGGATCTCAAATTCCGAGCTTCATCGTTTGTGTCATCAGAAGCCGATAGAGACAGAAATTCGTGAACGGAAGTGGAGGTCACACTACGACGGAGCGGAAACGAAAGCTGCAAGCAAGCATTGGACTGGAATCCAGCAGGACATTGCAGCAGAGGCAGACCCAGAGGCTCGTGGCGGCGAAGCCTAAACAATGTAATTAAGAACGTTGACCGGAACTTGACTTGGGCACAGGTCAAGGCCAAAGTTAGGATGGAAATCTTTCACAAAGGCCCGTTGCACCCCTGGAGATGCGCAGGTAATCACTGGTAATCACTCACACACTCATCACGAAACGGTTGCTTTCCAAAGTCGACGACGCATCCAACT